TGCCCTACTCCTCGACCTACACCAAAGCACACACACACACACACACACACACCTACATACAGGATTGTCTAGATATGTGAATCTGTATTTGACAGTTTGCATTATACATTTGGCTGGTTGACCCAAATTTGCCTTCTCCACACCACCATCTGTCTGATGCGGGCTCTGTGTGCAAACTGAGACCGTGTGACCATGTGCTCTTCGGGTCCCATGGTAGCACTCATGTACCGCCCCTCCTGCCTCACCAGACCGGGGGTCGTCGCGATGTGGTGTTTACGCACGGCCTAATTACACGCCATCTCATTCACCCTGCGCCGGAAAACAAGCATACACCACTCACCCCAGCCCTCGCCTTCATCCACACCCCACATAACACCCACCCACCCCCTCGGTCTACCGTTGGCGGCTGGCAGATGGGAGCCAAAATGGGCATCTTCTTCGCGACTTTGTGTACATTCCGGCATGTGTCGGGCCAGCTTCAGTCGGCCGATCAAGGCAAAGATCATGAAATAGCCCACTTTCCAAACTATCTTTCAGTCATCACAGACGACTATTAAGACGATTCTGTTTATAGCCGATGCCATCGACTAACCTTCTCAGGGAAGACGATCTATTTTCCCATCTTCATTCGTCTTCATCATCCCCACTCTCCGGTGTCTGTTAGTCCTTTTTGCTGCTTTTCACACACACATACATACACACACACACACACACACACACCGAGCTGGTCAAGCGCTTCCGACGCCAAAGCTAGGATATGCTGGTCTATTGCCACCTACAGGCCGCCGACCTCCTTTTGCCTCTTTGCACTCGTGTGGGATTGTGAAATTTGGGAGATTGTGCACTGTCTGAGGAAGCTCGAGCTGAACGCATGGTCAGGCGAATTGATGCTGAGGTCATCTTGAAGTCATCGAGACTTTCACACTTTCAGTCTATTCCTTGTCCTTGAATGGGGTTGAGACGACCTGCTTGAGCCACATTGCAAAGACAGAAACACCCACTCGTTAGTATAGGGTAGGGGGGAAGATACAAACTTGGAAGATCGCTTATTTCTGTTTCACATGAAGCACCATATTCACGAGTGGCCACGCTCAACAACCTAAGCATGATCTCACCCTTCCGTTTGGGAAACTGTTAATAACCCCTGACTCCTAACTTAAAGGGATTTAAGAAGTTATAGTAAAATCCCTTAACAACGTTGTGAATAAATATAAAGAGAAGCTGCATCTCAAAGAATTTCTTTGTGATTTACTATGACATAACTTTTTATTTCTAAGGAAAGTTGGGTTGGAAGGAATTCATGAAGTTTCGGCATCGGAATAGCAAAGAGTCTCGGATTGTGCAAGGAAACTGCACAGGAAAGCTGAGGTTTGAGGAATATCTTGATTTATAATCGCTGAGTTCACGTTTATTTCACACAAAAGTGTGTGCTGAACAGATGCGATGTTTGATGCGGCAGAAAGACGACGGACGATTTCTCTTGGCCAGCTGTCGATGTGCTTTACTGGAACAAACATGTTGACGCAATATTCAGCAATTTCAATGAAACCCTGTTACGCTTTCATCCGTCGCATGACGAACATCGTCAGAACTGGGTATCATTCTTATTGCACGATAGTGAAGCAAATGAATCAAGAAAACTCCCCTCTTTGACTCCTCAATTCTTTTTTATATTTCCATATATATATATATATGCTCTTCGCCGAGGAATAAAATGATGTACATGAGGTGTATTCGCCCTATTTCGTGTGAGGTTATGAACTGCTAGTGGCTGAATTTTCCCAAATAGTATTTCACATTGTCTTTTGATCTGGGCCGTCCAACCTGAATGAGACCACCTTTCGAGAGAGCAAGGCAAAATATTATTCAAAAGAACCGTCAGTTCAACTCATATGATTGTGTAAAAATTAAAATGCCAGTCCTTCATCACCATAAACGAAATAAGGTGAATACATCTCATATTACTTTTAGTCTCGAAACACTACTTATAAAACGAAAGATTGGTATATAAGTATATTTTTGAAGCTTATATGACTATTCCACTGAATTTCACATAGCCTTCTTACATACACTATATACTGATAGCCTGTAAATCCTACTTATAAAGGAAAAATAAGTCATATTGTTTGAGAACGATGAGGTATGATTTTGATTGTGGTACAGTCTGGATGGACATCTCGTGTGGAATCATGAGACCCTTGCAATTAACCCATGCATCGGTACAATCTTTGGATATGCACGGAGGATGTCCTTCAATCCTGCCAAAAGTGCTTGAGATGTCATGGGCCCTTGGGACCTTGAAGAACCAGGTTCCACAATTGCGGTCAACTACAACATTTCACATACAAACGGCCCATGAATGGATCTGGTTCTTTTCATTTCCATTTGCAAACTCGGCCTACAACCTTCAACCGGGGACCTCTTTCCACGGGTACCGAGGCACCCGACGAGAACAGCTACCGGCATCATCTATCCAACATAGAATCTATCCTCTCCAGTCGCACTCACCGACCGAGGGGAAAACTGCAATTCGGCTCCCGAAGATGCATTTGGTTTCCAACGGGTATAAACACTCCAACCAGGAGATCTTTGCTTCCCCACTGGCTACAGCACCTATACGTTCACACTCGTTCACACCGCCACATCTGTATGCTCTTTAGCTATACTTATCACACTCGAAGACCTCAAAAGGCATTGACGAGTACCCTTACTCACATGTACTTTATTGACGTTATCTCCCACATATACTGTCCTCTTCTCTTTTCACGATACAACTGGTCAGCTTCTACCAGTTTTCATCGCTTCATGCTTACATTCGACTTTCTCTGGTCTTCAATCGTCTTCAAAGGCTTTGTTTGAACTCATATTGAATTGCTCCTTGTTGAACCCTCCGTCTGTATATCTCGCAGAAGCCAGGCATAAAGGGGAAAGGATAATCCGACACAAAAACAATTCTTCCGTAAATTCTCAGAAGTGTCGCTCCAATAAGTGAGCTCGCATCAAACCCTTTTTCTCAGAGAACGAAAGGCAATTATTTGAGAAATCCAGTGCATTCTTCGTGTTTTTATAACATACTACTCATATCCGTTTTAACTTTTCTGATATAATTTTTCTATTACGGCCTACCAATCAGAGACAGAAATTGTATTCAAGGGGAGATGGTTTATAAGTCGATATCTATCTAATCCGGAACCATGAGGTAAGTCTCGAAGTGAGTGTCAAGAAGTCTTCCACAGAAGAATGTGAAAAGTACATGTTTGCTAGGCTATGTTAAAGTCGTAAGTCAACGGGAATTAGGGTGCAGGAAGAATTCCAAGACGCTGATCTTTCCAAACAAGGCAAACAGCGACTTGGTACATTAAAAATAAATTAGTATTCTCTCCTTATGGGCTTATGCTACTCCTTCTGAGGCAGAAAACAGCGTCGATTTTATACTTTTTGGCCAAAAATGATCTGAGGAGAATACCTGACGTCACGCACGCGTTTGTGTGTATGTGGTGGGGAGCGGGGAGTTATTACATACAAGTCAGCACGAAAGCAGTGTCTCTGTTCAGGGTGTGAAAGGAGCATGAGTCTGCGTCATACCCGGACAGAACGAGGAAAGGGGGCTGCATAGTTGTGGAATTAATCTCATTCATACTTACCGCTCGAAGTCCGTCAGTCGTGAGGAGTCGCGGAAGCCCTTGGCAAAGGGGTTGCAGTCAATCTTCAACTTTGTTATCTGCAATGAAGAGATTGACGTGTGGAATAATTTAGAAGGCTTAAGAGCATTTAGTAACAAGTCAAATAAATGCAAGAGAGCTTAAGCTCCGATGAAAGGGAAAAACAACTCGATATTGTATGAAAAAAGAATACTGTTTAAAGCATGACCATATTCTATTTGGCTAACTGGCCGACATTAATTGTTTCATCTTATCGCCAAGTTCTTCTATAAGGCGTTCGTCTCACATCATTGGACATTTATTTGGGTTCCAAAATTGGTAAAAAGTGACTTAAGGATTGATTGTAACATGACTCTTCATTCGAAGGGAAAGTTGGTTGGGAGGAATTCGTGATGTGGTACCACCGGAATCCGAAGTAGAATTACCGCGTATGGAAGTCTGTTGAGTTGTGCGCAGAAGTCGTCGACCCACCGTCCTGTGGCACCGATGAAACCGTGCTAAGCTGTCGTGTGTACTCTTGTAGACAGCATCAGAGCAATATTTCATACTTTACGAAATGAAGCAAACATATACGAAACCTTTTCTTTTGGTTTAGTATATTTTTGCTTCATTTCGTAAGGTTTGGAATATTGCTCTGATGATGTTTGTCACGGTGGTACAGACGAAAGCTTAGCACAGTTTCATCGGGGCCAAGAACGGTGGATCGAGGACTTCCATGCGTATTTCAACAGACTTCCATATGCGGTAATTCTCCTTCGGATTCCGGTGATACCACATTACGAATTCCTTCCAACCAACTTTCCCTTCGAAATAGAGAGTCATATCACAATATATCACCTAGGAATTCTTCGAAACCCAGTATTTATTCATAACTTGACGAGTGATCCTATCGAATCCAGAATTTTTGTCAAGTTAATGCAATTTTTGATTCTATTTACGAAATTTTGTTGTATCATCATGCTCTTTATGATGTCTATGTGAATGCATTGATGTGCAA